GAGTTCGGGTTTGTTTTATTTTAAACTAGACACCTAACTACATCGACTGACCGGCGCCGATTTTTCAATTAAGCCTTTATTGGTTTTCCAGGCAACCAACAACCTGCGAAACCCGAAAAAGCCTTCCAGATTTTCTAAAAATCCTCAGTTTGACAAAAAACTAATACCTAATTCAAAAATCGACGCCGGTCAGTCGATGTATTTTTTCTTCCTCTTTTAGACAAAAAAAGAATGAACTCTCTATGACAAACCGCTATCAAAAATCTTGGGATGCACTTGAGGTGTAACTCTTATATAGCGAAACGCTGTATGAAATAGTCGATTTTATGACTTCTAGGAAAATGTCTGTAACTTTTCGATGCAAGGTCATACAGAGTTGTGCGAAGTCTTATTTTGATCACAAACGTTTGCTCCACAAAGCTGTGTTTTCAGAAAAATTTTAATTGCATAAGTATCCAGGAAAAAACCATTATTTGAAGACCCATTTTTTCGAAGCTCTTAGAAAACTTGCTCAAAATCCCGGAAAAACCACTTTTGTAACCAAAGACAATACAGATTCTGGAAGTGGACACTTCAGGCTATGTTTCCATGTGCTTATCTCAAAACCGATTTTTTGACCGAAATCACCATTTCTGAGGGGGGGGCCCTTAACTCCTTATGACGTCATATGATTTTGTTATAAAAATATAATAAAGGTTGGCTAGCTTGTTAGTTCACATATGTGAAAAAGAAAGGAAGGAATATGTATGCTTGCTAACATATAAAATTTGCGAGTTCAAGACGTGAAGTTTACGTGATTTGGTAGCATCCCAGCCAAGGCGAGCGTCCTACAACAGGCTCTGCTACGGCAGGAGCCCAAGCTCCTCCCTCAACTTAAGTTTTGTAGTGTGTTTAGGTGTGAAATTTTGTTTAGCATATACTATAACATACTGTGGATTATATGCAAAGTTTTAGCTCATTGGCTTCGTCCCTCGTCATTTACAATTAATATTTAGTTTACGATTCTGAGCCCTCTTGGAGTACACTCCCTTAATTATTCAAGGAAAATTTTTTTCCAGCGCCATATACTTCAGAAGAATTTTTGAAGTTCTTCTGCTAGATTCGATCTGCCGACCTTTCCGACCTGGCAACTACATGATTAAGTAGATGAAACATTCCTCTACTAAATGAAAAGTGTCCCAGCTCTGAACGTTGATTCGTTATGAAACTACAGCTGTTGTACAAACAGCCCCCAAAATCGGTTTTTGGGCTATCTGAAAAGCGTGTCTAAAAGAGTGAACACGAGCTGGTCAACATTGAACAAGTATGTTTGTAGAAAATTGTTCGCTCTACACGATATGATAGCTTGTCAAGTTGGAAACTATTCTAATTAATCTGTATTAATCAAAGAAAAACCAGAAAAACGGTAGTACCGTTTTACTTAATCATGTAGTTGCCATTTTAGATTAATTTTTAGCTTTATTGCAATAACTTTTCGAAAAAGAGCAAAAAATGGAGGGCGTTAGCTGGACAAGCCGTGCACTTCTTCAACCATTTTTCCCATTGCACTAAATTGTGCAAAAGGAAACTACGAGTTATGTTGATACTGTCGTATAAAGGCCGTACACTTTATATTTAAATAGTCTTTACAGGTGATCACTCACATGTTACTAGCTATACTATGCATAAAAGCCGACCTTATCTGGTGTATTACGAAATGTAAGATGGTTTAAAAATGGTCGCTTTAAGTTTTACAGACTTTGCTGTATTTTAAAGTAAAAAGTCATCTTATTTTAGTCTTTCATTGGACTGTAGTCCAAATGATAAGAAATATATGTGTTGTTTACGATTAGCGTCATTATTAGGTATGCATCGGGTCGAGCTACTCGAAATTCGAGCTACCCGAAATTCGAGCTACTCGAAATTAAAGTGTTTTTTTTCCTGATGGTTGTTATTCTCAGGCCTCTACATTAAGGAGGATCCCACACTTTTATTCTATTTTGCATGTTAGCAAACAAACGGCATGTATGTTGTGTGTCCGCATCCCATGTCACTATATGAGTTTCCTCTCAAAATTAAACTGACTTTTTCGGTTTATGTCCGAAGCAGCTTTTTGAGTTCTTGAACGTCAATAGCTTTGTCCTTACTCTTCTTCCGCTAAATTTTCGAGTAGTTCGAATTTCAAGTAGCTCGAATTTCGGGTAACTCGAAGATCGGTGCATACCTAGTCATTATAGACAATTTTCTCTTGTACTTACAGTTTGGTAGTGATCAATTTTTTTTCTTTATTTCTTCCAGTTGTTTGTTGTTCGCCATTCTTTCACCTTCTAGCGGCTTGGTCTTAACTAAGACTATTGTGTTATTATACTATTGTGTAAAGAACAACTAACACTTGATCAACAAAAGCATAAATATCCTGAAACTCAAAATGAAATTTTATGTTGTAACTCACTCTTTCTTAACATGTAGTTGAAGACTTGTGCTTTTTTGTACCTCACAAAAGTAAGGTATTCATTTATTTAGAGTTAGTATTAGAATAAAAATGCAGCCTGTTCAATAATATAAACAGTTTTGAACGATGTTCGAACCTTTTTCAAAACTGCGTTCAGGCTTCTGTTCAGATTAGAACGTATCAAATACGTCCAACTATTCAAACGCGTTCGGAGTATCAAATATCTACAGCGTGCCGAGGCGTTTAGTAATCGGAACGCTTTCAAACGCTGTTGTAACCTGTTTCAAAACAGCCTTCAAACGTCTGTTCAAACCAAAACGCCTTAAAACGCGTTCGATAATTCGAACACGCTCGGAATACTAAATATCTTCGGCGTTTAACCCTTGACAGCTGTCTGAGGGTCCACTTGGACCCACTGTGCAGTTTTTTGTTTCTTACTTGGCAGTATTCATCTCTTTCGAGCTGCTCTCGTTCGTAATCGTCAATCTTCTATCTATGCATACTACCCATATAAAGTCTCGTGAATAAGTCTTACAGACAAAAAACGTCTCCGAACTCTCTACAACAGTTCTTCGTGAAACAGCATTCAATTTACGGAAGGTCCTAAGGTAATATCTTTTTTGTTTTCCCTTGAGTTCTACTGGTATGAGGTCTTCCGTAAATTGAATACTGTTCCACGAAGCAATGTTGTAGAGAGTTCGAAGACGTCTTATTTTCTTCAGAAATGTTTTCCCTACATGGTGGTGCTATTTGTAAGGCATTTCTAGATTGAACTCGAGGACTTGGTTTTCTGATATCTTGGTTTGCCAGAGACTCTGGTTTCATGAATTTTGATAGAACTTCTGTATACAACACATCAGATCGGAAATTCTTTCAGCTGTTCAAATCTTTCTTCAAATCTGTTCTAGCTATTATAGTCGCCGAGAAAAGTGAAAAATAAAGTGGCAAATAAGTTTCGCACCCACTGTCAGTTTAAGCGGCGAAGTATTTAATACACAAACACCGCTGTGAAGCTCCGTTAGGTTTTCTGTTAGCACATATTGCAGAGTTTTCCAAGGCGCATCGAATGCTGTATGAATGATTAGAGATTTCTACCTGTGAACGAAACTATAATAATTTTTATCTACTATTTCCGTTAAAATCGAGATGCTTATCAAGTATTTGTTCAGTACGTCAATGAAGGCAAACTTTGGAAACAATATGTTGCAATATGATACACATGGGTAGAACAAGAAAAGCGTTTGAGCTGAAAAGCTTGAATATTCTGAGTTTTTCTAAAAATATATAAAAAACACAGCCATAGTAATTATCTGGATTCTAATATTCTGCATGGTCATCATTGATTTCCTCTCTACTATGTATTTCAATAAAATTTACTCATTTGTACTGCCCGTATGGCAATTTTTTTTCGACGAAATTTGGGAAAAAACAGATGGTTTCGGATTCCCGACATGTAGTTTCGGCAAAAGCGATTGGAAAAATTTTGCAGTTGTTGTAGAAATTTTTTCACCCCTCGATAAATTGAACGATATACGATATATTATGATCTTTTTTCTTCACTAAGACTCTTCATGAAGAAAAGGTAAGACTTTTCATATATTTTGTTTCTCTATTCAAATTAAAAAAGTATTTTTCCTTATGCTCTATTAGTACCTGTTACCGTTGTTCTCAATGACGGGTTGCACTATCGAGTTTCGGAGGCTATCTGTCGGGCCTATTCAAGTCTGTTTTTTTAATCTCCTCTCACCGTACACTAATAAATATTTGATTTCATTCTATACATAATGTGGAGAAACCAAGATATGGCGTTAATATATGGATGAGAAAGTCTAACATAATGATGATTGCTAGATGAAATCTCGGAGTCTTGAGGTAGACCCATCTTCTAGAATGTCTAATGACCTTAAAACTTCTTTCAAAAGTTTTTCAACTATATCAATAGATAGCCTCTTTAATTCTCCACAAAATGAGATACTGGCCAAGTTTCTACGATGTTGTGTCGAAAAGTGCCATATAAAATACGATACAGATCGAAAACTGCATTAACGCGAAGGAAGTTATATTCGTAATGTTAAAAAACTTGAAACTTGATCGTGACAAATCGTAGAAACTTGGTCAGCGTCTCATTTTGTGGATAATTAAAGAGGCTATCTATTGGTATGGTTGAAAAACTTGTGAAATAAATTTTAGGGTCATTAGGTTTTCTAGAAAACGGTTTTTTTCAGAAATCCCTCCGAGATGTAGCATAACTTTTCTTCATCGAAATATATAGAACGACACGCACTCATTCATTTCATACCAACTTCAAAGTTCTACAATAGGGAATACGATCAGCAGACGTTCTTCAAATTAGGCGAAATCCACCGAAAATGCATTTTTCCGCTGCGAGGATAAAATGGCTATAACTTTTTTTCTGACCATCGGTTTTCACCATTCGGTTCAGCTTGCTGAACTCTATCATATGAAACAGGTCTCGTCACTGACGTCAAAGGAATGTTAGCAAAGTATTGTTTTACAAAATTTCAGGAATGAAAGGAAAGGATGATTAATTAAAACATGATAAAAAGGCATTTTTTTGGGTGAATACCAAGGGGGACAAAACGGATTTGAATCTCTAAAATCTCTCTAATTCTTTTAACATCTTGTTCAAATCCCTCCAAATTTTCAAAATCCTCAAGTCAGTTTTGTGAGAGGAAAACTGACCTTTTTTCGAGAGCAGAAACAACCATCCCGTTTTAAAACTTTTCGAAAAAGAGTCGGCCAAAAAAAGCCGATTAAATAAAGTAACAAATAAGCAAATATACTCAGCTGGCAGCTTTCGCAAAAGAATATTAGAAGTATACTTCTAGTATTCTTTTTTAGGGTATACCCTGAGGATCGAGCGCGTGTTTCAGTTTTAAATGATTTAGTTCATTTTCAATTCATGATACGCTACAGCAAACGGATCGCCTGGAGTTGTCGAAAATTCTCGCAAAATCGATTCTAGCTCTTGTTGCACTTCTTCTTTAGTTTCGCGTAAAATCTGTTCTATCGGTAAACGAAAGCGATTTTTATAATGTTCGGCAAGACGGTCTAAAATCTGTTGTGGATCGGAAATTAGGTCGTTTTCATGAGTTAGCGCTTTAATTTAAGGAGCATAAGTAGTCACATGTTTTGCTGCGTTCTTCCAGAAAAGAGTAGCTTTTCGAGTTGAGCAGTTATCTAAAAGAACGAACGTATTGGTTGCTCCGATGGTTTTCAATTAAAGAGTTCACATAAGAACGTTGTTCTTTGTATTAAAAAACGAGAAGCCATCCCCGTTTCGACTTTTATGAAATTTGTTCCTCAGCTTATGTAGTCTTAAAATCTCAGTCCGAATTGTAAGTGGCCGAGAGCGGCGATACTTCTGGACTGGAATCATTCAAGAAACACGGACTAATAAAGATCCTAGTAAACTCGAAAACAAATTGCAGAATTCTTCGCCACTGAACTGATAAATATGATTTAAATAAGGAAAGACAAATGATAGAAAAATAGTGTAGACAGACCACCGAATGTCTTTAAAGTAATATATAGAGCTAGTAGCAAAAACGCTGGTGTGCAGCACCGGCCAATGATCAGAAGTGCCTGATTTCACGACGCTAGTGCAAGGATTCGGATATGATGTTACTACCAGGTCATAACGATAAAGATGAGGACTATGTCAAATATCGATTCTAAGAATCAAATGAACTGTAATCACTTTCTCACGTATTGATCAGCGTTCAGTATGAAAAAAGATATGAAACGAATAAATCATGAGTCAAATCGGTTTCTATATTTTCTATAGGGCAAAAATAAGGGACTAGCCCATACCCCGCCAATCGCTCACATCGTTCCTCGCCAGCTCGAGCGCCCGTATATTCCATTGATTTCCTTAAGCGCATTTATTCAGCAAGCAGAGCTGTGATTTTGAAGAATCAAATCTCATCAAACTGGTGATTGTTGACTATCAGCTGTGATTCTTTTCTGTTTAGTACCACGTCAACAACTACTGATACCACAACAACAACTACTGATACCACAACAACAACTACTGATACTACAACTACAACTACTGATACCACGACAACAACTACTGATACTACAACTACAACTACTGATACCACGACAACAACTACTGATACCACGACAACAACTACCGAAACCACAACAACAACTACTGATACTACAACTACAACTACTGATACCACGACAACAACTACTGATACCACAACAACAACTACCGAAACCACAACAACAACTACTGATACTACAACAACAACTATTGATACCACAACAACAACTATTGATACCACAACTACAACTACTGATACCACAACAACAACTACCGAAACTACAACAACAACTACTGATGCCACAACCACAACTACTAGTACCACAACTACAACGAGCGATACAACCAGGTAAATGACCTGGAACTTGTGATGAAGTAAGGACAATATACAGCAAAACTCTATAGTGTGAAGAACAGTAGGACCATCTGTAAGTGTTCGCTTTTTTAATAATGATCTACATCACCTATTCACGCATGCAAGGGTGGCTGATCCATTTTTGCTGAAACTCAATATGTCACAGAGCCTGAAAAGTTTTTCTTTTCAACTGCTCTATGAACAGAAAATCAAATCCCATGAAATTTTGACTTCAATGCTTTAGTTTAACGTACACATCGACAGCACTCACAACTTTAATAACGACAGGCGCACGTAATATACTTTGACGGTAGAATAAGGTAAAGAGAACATAATTATGCATATGAACATTTAGCTGCTTCAAAACTAAATAATTTACCGTTGATACTTGGCTTATCAGCCTTATGTTTACTGGCTATGATTGCTTTATGTTGCTGCTGTTATCATTTATTCTGGTAAGAATATTCCTGTAGAAAACAAGCAGAATGAGCCTTATTTGGTATGTTTAAGGGGCGCGGCTGCTCGTAAACGATGTCGAAATCACAAAGAAAAGACAGAAAAATATTCCTACAAAACTATTTTCGAATCAAATTCGTTACCACCAGATTCAAAAAAAATGAAAAAAGTCTCAAAACCACACAAGAATTTTACCGGTTATGATGTCTTTGATGGTGTTAAAAGTACTAATACCGGACGCAGTTCTTTATTTGCTCATTCAAGTAGCCGACCAGCGAGCATTATGAGTAGCTGCACAGAATCAAATTCAAATCTAAACAAATTAACAAAAACCGGTTGTAAAAGTTCAGGGAGCGTTAGTGTGGTTAACGTTAAAAGACTTCAACATTCTGTAGCAAATGAGTGTATAACTGCTCCAATAATGGCGATGGAAGATGTTCCTGAAATTAAATTATCAACCGAGAAAGTTAGATTAACACGTCTAAAACCGTGTGAGACTCCAGGTACTGTCAGCAAAACTCCGTCAGAATCCAAACAGTTACGCACAAGAGGTAACAATAGTGTTAGTGTAATTAAAATTCCACGTACAGAAACAGCCAGTGGAGCCCATTCTTTACCTTCTGCATTTAAACCAACAGAAAATGATAGTTCTCGTCCAGTATCCGAACCATTAGCTTTTTCACATGTTATAATAACACGTCTAAACTCGTCTGAAACTCCAGGTACTGTCAGCAAAACTCCGTCAGAACCCAAACAGTTACACACAAGAGGTAACAATAGTGTAAGTGTAATTAAGATTCCACGTACAGAAACAGCTAGTGGAGCCCATTCTTTACCTTCTGCATTTAAACCAACAGAAAATGATAGCTCTCGTCCAGTATCCGAACCATTAGCTTTTTCACATGATGGAATAACACAAGTGCATAAGAGGTATAGTCGACTACTCACAAGCGTAAACAGCAAACCTCTTTCTCGTCTAAATACTGTCAAGGTAACGCATGTTAGATCGTCTAATGCAGTTGAACCTCTTGCAACAGTAGCAGGCGAGATGCCTTTGCCACTTACAACTGATAGTCTCGCATCAAGCACCCAATCTCTTCCTTGTGTCCAGTTAACAAGTGGTAAATCCTTGACTAGTGAATTATTCCCGATGTATGAATCAAATAAAGTGTTAAGTAACTTACATGGTGTTTCGGTTACGAGACTACCATGCCCCAAATCATCTCAGAGCGTCGCACTCGATGATGACAATAAGTCTATTGATGAAATAAATGTTTAAAAAGTTTTATGATTGTCATTTTTTTTATGTTAATTCTTGACTATTTTTCGCTTTAAGAATAATTTTAATGAAATTATTATACGCGTCGATGACAACTAAACACAGAATCATCTGTTTTATTTAGTCGCAAAAGTAACTCATTTATTTGACCTAATATCTCGATAAATGGTAGTTTATACGGCATTACTGACGCTCCCAATCTTTTTCTATACAACCTCACGAGCGCATTTGCAAAGAGGTACATAACGGCAATTATATCTTTTATCTAAAAATAAAGATGGCTCAAGCCCAAGCGTTGGCTTGAGGCTTGGACCATGTTTATATTTGAATTAAAAGTGTGAATCAGATCAAGAAACGATCCATGTTACCCCATTAGGAGATTTAACAGGGACCAAACATCTCATCACCCTAAAAAATCTCCGATTAAATTATAAAAAGTCAAGCACTGGTTACTCGTCGAGTGAATTTGATCAGCTTAACTTCGGACGGTTCTGAGAACAAACTCAGAAAAAGCAACTGTTTCAGGCTGAGAACATTAAAGAGTCCTTTTCTA